TATAAAAGCCACCAGGGAGCAGATGCTCAATGCAGGAGCTGCCAAGCTGCAGTGACTTGGCAGCTGTGGTTCTCAGGTGACACAGCCAGAACCAGAGAGGAGGGATCCCGATTCCGGGGTGCATCACCCAAGAACTGCCCTCTTTCAATCCAGGACTTCTTGGGGGATGTCAGAAAGCCAGTTTTGGCCCAATTCCCACAGGCCAGGCTGAGGGACCCCGAGTGCACAAATTTTTGTGAACTGGGCCTCTAGTCTTTATATAAAAGAAGATTTAATTGTATTATTCAAATCCTCTATACCTTCCTTTACTTGTTTCCTCTTAATTAGTCACATTATGAAAGTGTATTGTGTTATTTTAATGAGAGTGATTTTACAATTTTCCTTGTATTTCTAAGAGTTTCCACGTTACAGATTTCTCTATGCTATTTACTGTATGAAATTTTAGGGATATTTTACCTTTGTGGGTTGTCAGCAAAAGAAATCAATGCAAATAAAGATTGAGCTAAGCATCATTCACATTTTCCCATCCCCAAGAAAACAAAATACAATGTACCCCACCAAAATAGGTCCACTTACATTACTTGCAACAGAAAGAACAGCCATTGCATGAAGAATGTCTTGCCAAACACCTATGCTATGAGCTTTAGCTGCTACAGGTCTCCTGTACTGAGTAGTAAGTTTCCAGGCATCCACTCGAATCTCTAAAATATTATTCAGGAGAGCAAGAAGAGGAGCCAAAGGAAAAGAGGCCACAAATAAGGTAACAAATCCAAATGGGATAACTGTAGGAAAAAAAGAAAAATTTGTAAACTCATTATTATGGAGGAGAAAAGAGGGAACACTCTGCCCAACCCCTGCCACTTCTGGCATTTTGGAAGGACCTATACCAGCAAAGTACTCCAGGTCTCTTTCTATCTGCCCACTTCCTCCTCCTTACAAGAAGCATAGTGATGTATTTGCTTGCAATAGAAAGGAGAGCATTATGCTAAGTGAAATAAGCCAGTCAGAGAAAGATAAATACCACATGATCTCACTCATTTGTGGAATATAGTGAACAACATAGGCTGATGAACAGGACAGATCCAGAGACAGAGAAGCAGCGATCAGACTGTCAAACCTCAGAGGGAAGGTAGGGGAGGATGTGTAAAAGAAAGGAGAAATAGGGCATGCACAGCTCAGTTCTGTCCTTGCTGTTTCTTTTGAGATCTGCTTACCTAAAGAAAGTATCTATTCTTCTTAGACAAGATATTCTTCTTTTTTAAAATATATTTTATTGAGTTTTTACAGAGAAGAAGGGAGAGGGATAGAGAGCCAGAAACATCGATGAGAGAGAAACAGCGATCAGCTGCCTCCTGCACACTCCCCACTGGGTATGTGCCCGCAACTAAGGCACGTGCCCTTGACCAGAATCGAACCCGGGACCTTTCAGTCTGCAGGCCAACGCTCTATCCACTGAGACAAACCGGCCAGGGCAAGATATTCTTCTTAAAACACAGTCTTTTATTATCTTATATAATAAAAGGATAATATGAAAATTGACCAAACAGCAGAATGACCAGAATGCCTGCAGCCCCTTGCCCTGGCTGGCCCACCCCCAGTGGCCCCCATCAGGCAGGCTGGACCCCACCAGTGCACAAATTCATGCAACAGGCCTCTAGTAGTCTATAGTTAGGCCTTATGCTGGTCTAGACTTTACATTGGTACAGCCATACTAGTGGGGTAATCAAGTTTTTCTGTCTTGCTAATGTGAGTACTTTTTCAGATCAGGGATATGACCGATTCATTTGTATGCTTCCAATAGCCAGCATATGCTGGGTATATAAGAGTACTCAACTATAAGCCTTATAAATTAACTAGAGACCTGGCGCACAAAATTCGTGCACAGATAGGGTCCCTAGGTATGGCCAGTGATGAAGGCCGATCTGTAGGGTGACAAGTGGGATGATCGGGAGGCCCCCACTGGCACCCGCCTTGGCTGGCCTGGCACCACCCGCTTGCTGGCCCCACCCTCTGCTGCCGCAGCCGCTGGTCACCTACCTCTATGGGACAACCAGCGGGGCAATTGGGGGGACCCCCACTGGCACCTGCCTTGGCTGGCCTGGGGCCTCTGGGCTGGGGGCAGCTCCTGTGTTGAGTGTCTGCCCCCTGATGGTCAGTGCATGTCACAGCGACCAGTCGTTCCACAAGTTGTTTTGCCATTTGGTTGATTTGCATATTAGGCTTTTATTATATAGGATGCTTTATTTAAGCTTTGAAGAAGCTAATGGATAAAAAGTCAGTGCAAAACAAGCTATTTGAGAATAAACCATAAAGCGAATTTTCTAAAGCATTGGAAGTATATATGAATTATAAGTGGGCAGAGGAAATATACATTTTCTGGAAAAAAGTACTAATTAAAGTCCTGATTCTTTGTGATATCTTGACATCTTTCTAAATAAGTTTTACTCTCCTCACTTGGTAAACTGGCTTCTCTCCCCATTTTTGATATTTTGTTTCCAACAATGCTTGGAATAAAAAAAAAATGCAGTTGGCAGTCTGGGCTTCCCACATGAATAATAATAATAATAATAATAATAATAATAATAAAGATATACAGGAATGGCTCTGAATTGAAGGAGGAAATAATCTTCCACTAGTCCTCTATTTTTACATGAATCTTAAGTGTTTCTGGATTTCAGCTTTTCTTTTA